TGGCTTCTCTGGCAATACCACACAGCTGAGATCCGAGTCACCCCTTTATTTCTGTCTATCTTAAGTGAATCGATTCGTGCGTGTGAGGTATGCGTAGATGAGTCAGCTGCAGCTGCCGCGTAAGTCGCCGTCTTTCGCCTACCATGCTGCAGGCACAAGGTGGACATCGCCGTTTGTTACGCTCGAACTGATGGATTCCCCACAGTTTCTTTGTCTAGTTCGTCGGCTCAACAGAGACTAACTTGGGTAAAAGTAATTCTAGCTTGCAAGCCTTCGCAAGGCTCGAGCACCGTGTAAAAGTACGAACACAGGCTGGTTGGTTTTAACATAAAAAGTATGCATGCCCTCAAGAAAGAGGATTCCCTGACTGCCAACAGAATGGAATATGCGAGTTCCAGGAAGCAGTTCAGAAGAAGAAGAAGAAGAAGAAGAAGAAGAAGAAGAAGAAGCGACCACTGGGACAAGAGTTTTAGTGTGCTGACGTTTCGGATTCCCTCGGGAATCCTTAATCATAGGTAATCTTAGAAAAGTCCGAGACATGCGCAGATAAGGGTGATACATGCACAGGTTGCACGGTATTTATACTCGATAGCGGTCATCCGCATGCGTACTATAATTGTCAGTCCCTGTAGCCACCGTTTGTGGTCTTAATTGGTGCGGTGATTGCTCATTAATTGCCACCGTGTTCTTGTCCGCGTCGGATGCGGGCTTGATAATCGCGCGACAATTATGCTAGCTGTCGCCCGAGTCGTTGCTGAGCCCGGCCCTCCGCACGTGACTGATTCTCTTGCTCAGGAAACTTCTCAGTAGACTGTATGGGAACGCCAAATCGTTGCGCTTGTTGATGGACTTGGGGCCTGAAAACCATGACTCGAGCACCTCGCGGCTCATGCGGTTGTCAACTCTTGCGAGGATTTCGACCTCGTCAAACTTGAAATTATGGCATGCTCCCGTCGAGTGAGCTGGAATCTGGAAGTTGGCGTCTTTATTCCTCACCGCCGTTGCATGCTCGGCCATGCGCGTCTGGAGTAATCTCTCCGACGCGGGCAAGAACATTGTGGCAATTAATGAGCCATCACCGCACCAATTAAGACCACAAGCGGTGGCTACAGGAACTGACAATTATAGTACGCATGCGGATGACCGCTGTCAAGTATAAATACCGTGCAACCTGTGCATGTATCACCTCTATCTGCGCATGTCTCAGACTTTTCTACGATTACCTATGGTTAAGGATTCCCGATGGAATCCGAAACCTCAGGGCAATAAAACTATTGTTCCAGTGATCGCTTCTTCTTCTGATTCCCTGACTGATTAAAAATATACCTTCATTTGGAATACTCTTGGTAGGTTAAGTTCTTTTAGTGCATAGGCGCTCTCTGGCCGGGTACGGAAATCACTTCCATCCCGCCCTGCTTTGAGGCTCACTCTTTAACCGCCCGCCAGCATCTGCACAACGAATTCTGAGCCGTTCTGTGGACAGGGGAGAGCATTACCGACAAAGACTAGGGAGAGTGGAATGGTCATTTCCGGCTTACTAGCCATTACTGGGCAGTTATATCTGATGTCAAGTGTTGCGCCACTTCAGGTTCGAACCCGCGACCGAGGAAGACTGTCCAGAACTTAATTTATCCGAAGTATTCAGGTGGCTATATGGACCGGAAACCAATCTTTGCTTCTACCTCAAATGTCAAGTAATGTACCATAGAAGCAGCGCAGGTTCTAACTAAAAGCCCTGACAGGTGGTTCGCGATATTAACAGAAACGCTGGGGTGACCCCCGAACCCTTCGTAATTCTGTTTTCCTGCAACAGTTGACTATTGAGGAGGCGCTTTTGGAGCTTTTAGTCAGAAGCGGTGTTGTTAGCAGTGGAAACTTAGGCAAAATTTGCATATTTCTGTCTGCTTGTTTATGGTAACGCCGCTAAAGTTGATTGGTTTTGGTACGAATATCTAGATCAACCTTCGGAATGAGCCCATAAAACTTTGTTCAGAATGACTTACTTGTCTAAGTCAGCCAGAATATTTCAGAGACTAAAATGTTGAGACATCAAGTCTAATATCGGCAGAATTTTTGGGGTTTGTTAAACGGGAAATTGACACTCGATGAAGATTCACGGATCATAAACGGAACTCACTTGTCCGCTCTGCTTTGATGCTCATTCTCGAGCCTCGCCATCAGTTGCGCAGCGGCTAGCAGTCTAGGCAGCCAGCATTTCCGGCAAGGCAAGGCAGACTGAAATGGCCACTTCGGGCTAAGTAGCTGTCGTCAGCCAGTCCTATCCAACCCCAGGAGGTGGACCACCCGAGGCTCGAACTCGCTACCTTTTGATCAGCAGTTTAACGCTCTAAAGCTCTCCCGATCTAAATTGACAAGACTTACTTACTTTTCTCTTACTTTTGCAAACTTGAATATTTATTTTTTTGTTATTTTGGTCTGTTGATCGTGTTTGATACTCATAAAGCCTTTCACTAAAGAAATCGGCATTTTAATT